TATGAGAGACTCGAACGATAAAATTGTTAATTCAGAGATTCGAGTCTCTCACAGAGAGACTGAATGAATAAAACTGAAAAATTGAGAGACTCGAGTCTCTCGTAAAAAGACTGGGATCTCCGAAACATGTTGAACTTTTTAAATTTTAACCATGTCTATCGAGACACCGCTTATTGAGAGATTCGAGTCTCTCGTTCAGAGACTGGATACGAAATGAGGATCTCTCTATGAGCGACTCGAGTCTCGCGTTCAGAGACGCTAAACAGTTTCTTTGACAGTCTCTCTCAGCTACATCAGAGAAACTCGATGAGAGACGGATACTCGAGTCTCGCTTTCAGAGACTCTGAGAGACTGAACATTTTTATTTCGGGACATTACATTTACGGTGAAGAAAGCTACGTTTCGAGCATCTTCAGTACCACAAGAACGCCTAACTACTGAGCAGGAGTTGAAGCTTTCTCACGACCTACAGCGGCTTCGTAACAAATTTTGTACCGTCGCAAAATGATTCCGTTCAGAAAATAAACAATCTACAAATGCTAAAGACATTATATAATATAAGTTCAACCCGAAAAAATAACATTCAAATGCTGTGGATTCATTGTACAGAAGACCAATTCAAAAGCACTAAACATATTTCTTTATTATACCTGGTAATTTATAAATTATGATCCCTTATGTGAGCTCTGGGGGGTGTTATGTTATAACTACCTTTATTAGTACGTGAACATCAAAAATTATCGTACGCTTTCGGGTTTTTATTATAAAAGGAAGAGATCTAGGGATTGAACGTCGCTCATCAGGATCATACTTGGAACGTTAAATTACAATTTATGATCAAAATTGAGATTTTTCTCACTGACAATGCTAAAAATTGCCACTTAGTTTTCTACCCTTTATTAGTCATGTTACTTTTCAACCTATTTGCAACGAGTTAATTTATTGTTACTTCCACTTCTAGTCTTCTTGCTAGGCTGTATCCATTCCACATAACAGTACGTGGTTTCTGTTGACTTTATAGTTCTCACCCCACAACATTCTGATGGTACGCCTAAGTATGGGTCTGATATCTGCTTATATCATTCTAAGGGTACTGTGTCTTACCGTTAAAGATAAAAAAGAGGTGCTGTCTCTGCCGGTCATTACTGTAACAATTTTGGGTTTCTTATTATTTTAAAGGGTCAAAAGTTGAGGTTAATTCCTTCGTATAGGTATGCGTGATATGGTTGCAATTCGAGGACACGCGAAGCTAATATCACAGCGTATTTTCCTGCGTTTCTTTGGGTAGATTCTGCTTAACAGCAAACTGAATCCGTAGGTACCGTAAAAATTGCGGATCCCATCACGAGACCAATTAACCTCCATCCCGAATTACGTCTCACCTTCAAATTAACGGAGGTGAACGCTTTTTTTTCTCTTTTGGTAGCTTCATGTCATGTTCATCCGGTCGCTTTCACTTACGACTTTTTCTTGCGTTGATGCACCGTAATAACTTCCACCAGGTGCTATCGCTATCGTATTTAGCAAACGCCTTCCTCGTCTTACCATTTACCGAGTGCAGTTTGGCCTCGCAAGCGACAACCGAGTCTACATCCATACTTGCGTCGACCGAAGAAAGTTCCTCCCGGTTCACGTTCTACATGTGCTTTATTTTGTTATTGTTGTTGTTGTTGTTGTTTCTGCTGATAGTATACGACGAGGAGGGTCGCGGTCACTTTCTCAGTAGGACAGACGGTGAGGTGCGGACAGCATGTGCCTCCCGCGAATATCTACTGCTATCAGAACGGGACGGGGAGGATGTACTGTTGGTAACGGTGTTGGCGTGATACTACTTGCAGTGTTCGTGGTTGGGGAGGTGGTGTTTCGGGGTTGCGGGGTACACGGGATTCCGAGCCAGAAGCAGACGCAGGAACTGATGCTGTTGGACGCACTTGGACGAAAGGCTAACGCGGACCCGCCGTCACAAGACAGTTTTATTGATCTTTTGGGAAGAAGTAAGTCGGAAAATTTGAGAAAATTTATAATATCTATGCGGATAAGATGGAAAAGGAAAATTTGTCTAAATATTAAACCGATATTTACAATTTATCCCACTAGCCCATTGCTTCGTAAGCGAAAATAATAAAAATTACGATTTGGACCCGAATTTGTAAAAAATAAAATCCCAGCAGAAATAAATTGTTATAATTAAGAAACTTGAGAGAAATTTAAAAAAAAATGTTAAAATTGAGATTATGAGAAGTTACCTAATAAATTATACTATTTCTACGGCAAATTCACCCATTTACAATCGAAAATTGTAATTTTTGCGTTGTCATTACAACACTACCGTAGATGCATTTCAAAAAGGCAACGAAGAGTTTAAATGTTGAACATCTCGACTAAAGTTTCTATAAAAGATAATATAATATTAATCACAAGGGCATACGCAGGAGTTTCCTTTGGCGGTGGGGGGCTAATTTTTATGTTTCTTTTTGTATATAAACTGGACCTAAACTTATTCTTCATAAAATGTGTGTACAAATTGTGTATAAAATTGCTAGGATAGATCAGTGTGTCTGTTTTCAATTAGAATTAACCATTTTTTTTCTTTATTTCCGATTGTCTAAAGTAGTACGCTCGCTTGGTTCATACCTTTACCATAAACCACATTTCTTACAAAATTACCATTCCTAGCTGTCACTACCCTCTACATATTTCTAAAAATAAATTTTACGACTTATTATGGTAACTTTCTCATCTTTAAATAGATCCCTTACTACAACTTGTTTCTATTACGGTGTTATCACTTCTTGTTTAGGATATTCTTTTAATTTGGGGTCGGGGGGGAAACCAATAACCCCCTCTAGGTACGCGCCTGATTGATCATATCTATGTAGTGTGTCCTATTATAAAATTTTCCTCTCACCTGTTGCCTTTTAAACGAAACCTCCTATTTTCTATTTTTGAACATAGTAAAATAAATTAAACTGTTACAGACAATCTTGTCTTAATGTAAAGGGAAGAAGTATTGTTTGAAAAATTTTTTGGATACACATTGGTCAGAATAAACATAGTACGTAGTTTTGAGTTAACCCGTATATTATCTTATCAGATCTTAATCATTAGTTAACAAGCGGTTTTGTGAGCGTGGATTTTGTTATTTAAAATATGTTTTTAATAAGACTAAACGATTTCAACTAAGCTTCTTTGACTCTTGAAGCTCCAATTACATTTTAAAATCCATAGTCTTCGAATTACCAATTACTTCGAATATAATAGATTCAACAGTAATAAGAAGTTTTTAAGGTGTAATTTATTTATTTATCCACAATTTGTATGTTATGTGAAAATGCTTGTTGTAGTATTAAATATTTCGCCATTCCTCATAGTTTAAAGCTTTGCGGTTTTTTAAAAGTTTATGATGTAACAAGGTTAGATATGGTATAAATGGTTATCGATGAAGGTTGTACCTATTTGAGACAGTATCGCGGTTAAAATTCAAAGGCAATGCACTTTTTGAAAAGAAATGTACGTGAACAAATTCAAGAATTTTTTGAAATACCTTCGGAAACAATACACAACCGTTTGACAAAAAATAAATGAAAAGAAAATCGGTAACACACAGTTTTGGAGGTAAGGTGAATGCATAAAATGGTGAACTTGTGGAATATGCTTTTTAACTATGCTTATCTTGAAATATCACGGTTTCTTCGAAAACTGTCCAAAACTAACTGAAGTTCATACATTCTTTTGAACAAAGCGAAACATCCCTCAAAAGCCTTAAACTGTAGTTATATATAAGACTTATATTATCATATCACTTCATTGTTTATATGAAAATATGACTTATTTAATTTTGCAAATTGACCCCTGCTTTGAAACATTTAATCTACGGCCCTGATAGGGATACTGAAGAAAGAGGGCTGTAATTGTTATACCTAAAACTGCCTACTTTTGCCACCGCGCATCCACGTCATTTTAAAATTTAAAACCTGTGCGACTCTTTTACTCCAAAATTTGCGTTTTTTGCAAATGCAAAAAAACAAATAACACCTTTTTTGTTTAGTGCTTGAAGTTTTGTATATGAAGGTAGCATTACATAACATATATTCGATATAAGGTCCTTTTCCTGTGCTAATTACGTAAGCATTTAAAATAAAAATAACTAGTCCAACATTTAGCTTTGCAGTCTATTGTCTGTAGTTTTTATAGTAACAGTTACAGGAATTATGCTGTTCCATATTGGATTTTTAAACAATTCTTAATTCCTGTAAAAAAATGATTCCGCAGGTTCAGTGAGGGCATTCAGAGTTCAGGCCCTTTGCTTAAAATTATAGATGTAGATTTTAAAACCTGCTTTTGAGTTCTATGATATTCAGAACGGGGACATCCCTTTGGGAGCCCGGGCTAGAGGCCCTTTTGTCTTGCTTATTGCTTACCTCCCCTAACGCCGGCCCTGGTACTTGACCATATATTTAATATAATGCCTATTCTTTTGGAATATTCTAAAGTACTATAAGTACTAAATGAAAACTGTTTTTTAGTAATAATAAACAAGTGATCAAAAATTAACCAGGCAGTTACAGAAATTATCACAGGGATAAGGGATACTCAACTTTTTTTCACCACAAACGTCTCACTTAATCAGACAATATGCGAATTTTGATAGTTGTAGTGAACTTGTAGGTATTTTAGTGGCTTCTGAGTGCAACTGTAATTTGTCTACTTAATTTTAAGAATCATTTTATTTATTTTAATTCAGATATAATACATTCGCACTTCAGATTTAGGGAAATGTGTGCCGCAAACTCAAAAAAATTTAAAAGAAATAAAAACAACTAGAGGCTTCCGACGCCATGTTATAAGGGTTTCATTCAATGAATTTGCTGAAAACATCCCTGTACTTTTAGTCATGTACATAGTACCAATATGAACATTTCCGATGTTTTTGATTTTCATCATATAGATTCCCGCCGACACCTATAATTTGACATGTACCTGCGACCTACGCAAACATTACTTCTGAATTGTTATTAGATAAAAAAGGGACAATTCTGCGTCCTGGGCCTTTCTGGATGACAAAATGGAACGTATGGTCACATTATATTTATTCTACTTCTTCTGAACAAAAAAACTAAATCACATTATTTTATGATATTGTGTAATTTATTTCCACCCTTTAATACATTCTAAAAGAAAAGGTTAGGAGCGTTCGAAATGTGGTGTTATAGTCGGATGATGAGGATATTGTGGGTAGAAAAGGTTAGAAATGAAGAGGTATTGGAAAGAATACGAGAACAGAGGACTTTATGGAAGTCAATAAGAAATAGGCGAGATAGGTTGGTAGGACATCTTTTCAGGTATGAAGGTCTAGTCAGAGACATATTAGAGGCAGAAACAGGAGTTAGGAGGGGTAGAGGTAGACCTAGATTAGATTACTGTTCGCAAATAGTTAAGGATGTAGGTTGTTCTAGTTTTAGGGAAATGCGAAGTTTAGCTCAGGATAGGAAAGAGTGGAGGTACGTGTCCAACCAGTCTTAGGACTGATGATCTTATGATGATGATGATGAATACATTCTAAACAAAACACATCAAGTGTTACTTAATAATAATCTATGTCTCTTCTCGTTTTTAGAAGACCAATCAATACGGCAAATAGACATAGATAATCTTAAAAGTATAGTGTTTTATGTCGACTTATCGAATGTTTCAGTATTCTATAAAGTTATTGCCAATATATCGTCAACTCCTGATATTTACTGTAAATTCTGTATTGCATGTATATGTTTGCAATGGCGTTATCATAATAAAATTAATAAACGCTTGAAGTCAACACTCGATTATTAAAACCGTTTAAGTTTAAAAATAAAGAAATTAAAGATTACTAGCATCTGAATTTTGATATCTATAAATATTTCAAATTAAATTTTCTTTTTCAGTGATCCCACAGTCGTGTAGGTATAAAGGAGTCAAATATGAATGCGGTTTGAGCATAAGTTGCGTCCTAGGAGGAGGAAAACCATTGGATTTGTGCTCGGGAGGGATGATTTGGGCTTGTTGTATTGACAGAGAACCACGGCCAACTACCACGCCAGCGCCTGATGTAGGTTTACTTAACAACGTCAGTAAGTAAAGAAAACGAACGTAAGAGCCGTTTTATTCTAATTTTATCATTTATCTATTTTTTTATTTCGCTACCACCACTTAAGTAACTTTAATGTAAGGATTGATGATGTTTTTATTCTTGATATAAAGAAAATATCTATCAGAGCTGCCGCAAGATATTTAGAAGGTAATACTGTATTGTAGGCATCTTCCAAATATCTTGATTTGTTTATCTTGATATTGCCTCGTGTCTTATTCTGAGATTCTTATTCACGATATTGAGTTTGAAGTCAAGACAGACAAAATTGATATATTCTTAACTCTTGTGGCAACCCTAGTATTTTACATGTTGCAATCCAATTTCTCTCAACAGGTCGACTACTTTCTTTGTTTATATGAAATATACTTTATAAAAATTATAGTAATCTTTTGGCAAGGTATCATTTTATAATAACTATGGTAAACTAAGGTATAAAAAAATAACCAATACATCATACGGCTAGACCATAAAGGACGGAACAAACTGTTTAATAATTCGATCATGGATCAAATATTTACCTATATATTATACATATAATTCGCATTATTAGTGTTTGGAATTATGACTAAATTTTAATTATCAAAATATTTAATTATCTCTTTAAAACAATTAATGAACATGATGTTTTTAAGCTCAATCCAATAAAAAATTTTGGATTGTTTATGTCCATTAGTTCATAATCAAAACAAGAGGATCTCGATTAGATTTTGTCAGCTGTTCTATTTGACTGTTCATATTTCACATGTAACGCGACACCGTGTTGTGGATGACACGGTGCTACTTTTATTATGTTAGATTAGTGAAAGAAATCTAGAACAACTTTCATTGAATTCTTTGTGGCACGGCAGCCTACATTCTGTTGAAAGTGACAAATTATAAAACCGTTCGCACATATTATAAGAATTTAATTTTCCGACTACGATGTACGTAAATAAAAAGGTAAACAGTCAATCAATTTTTAAAACTGATTAACAAAAAAAGCACATTTACCGCTTCTAAAAATAAAATATAAATCGTTTTTACTGCTTTCGGAAATTGTAAATTTCGTCTCGAATTAACATTTCACTGTAAATTCCCACTGGACAGTTTTTGTTATTACCATACGTAAATTTTGTCGGATAAATGTGATAAATCTAATGCGGAGGATTAACGCTGCAAACGCTATAGCTTAAAGTCTCTATTAGAAAAAAAATGGGCGGTAATTGTCCAGAATTGGGGCTCCAGACTAAAACAAACCAAACCAAACAATGACGTCACCAATGCAGGTAATTATCCAGAATTGGGGTAATTTTGAAAAATTATTCAAAAAATCGGAAGTCGATGCAAATTTTTTTGGAGCGATTTTGGTCTGAAACCCCAATTCTCGACGATTACCGCAAATTGTAATTTTTGCGTTGTCATAAATACGTAGTTTTTTCCGTGTTCATGTTTCCAACCTACCCATCTGTATATTATACCCCGTTCCCTCCGCCCGTGATCCCCATATTTTACCGAAACAGGAGAGTGAGAGAAACGTCGTTTATTACACACATTTCGTGAGGTCATCTACCCTTTGTGCTGTTGGAAAATAAATCGGATCGAGATATAAAAAGTTTCGTTTTATTGACTTTGTCCTTATAGCTCGAATATTATACGTATCCTTTATACATACGTGCGTTCGGACGTACGTACAACCTACACATGTATGTATCGGCAAGTGCTGGTCTCTCTTCACGCTTTTAATCATGCACGAACAATGTTGCATATTTGTAAACTTTGCTCAGTTCGTGTGCAAGAAGTTGTCCATAGTCACATGCAAATGCGGCCTGTTAAGTGTCTTAGATCGTGTCTTCGATTACTAATTGCTTTTGCAACTACGGTAACTTGNTTCAGTAGAGAGATAAATTGTGATTATTTAAATTGCTAATGTGGTGCTACAGGCGGTGAAAATGATATATTAGAGAGTATTTTTAAATTAGCTTTCTAAAATTTTGTTTACCACTATAACGATAAAATTGATAACTGAAGATTACTTATACTTCTCCAGATGAATAGTACCTACAAATTAACACCAAAACCATTATGATAGTTTAAACTTTTTTTCGAAAAAACTTTATCTGATATTAACCATAGATTCCATCTCATACGGAAGCTCTAACATAAATTCTACATGAATTTAATAACAACCTATTAGCAGAGCCTATTTCTTTATTAAATTTCAATTTATTAGTGATAAAGCAATGTAGATAAGTAAGAAAATTAAGACTTATCGAGATAAATACAGGGTACATCAAGGAATAACAAATATTTTGGGAGATGGTGTTACTGACCACTGTGAGTAAAAAGTCCAGATAAACTTGTACTAGGACACGATTTGCTTCAAAGATCCAGAGCTTTAAATGTTATACACACTACCAATTAGTTGACTATGAGTATACACAAATACCTGCAATGGGAGCCGCGCTACGAGGGTGTGCTTCTTAAAAAAGAGGAATATGCTTGGAAGTAATGAAAAACTAATGACATTCTGAAAGTACAATGTATGTATGTACATAGTTTCTGAGAAAGTAACAATCATGCGTAATGCACTTTGAGATGTCTAATTAGGGGTGGCCAACCCGAATGATCTGGCAGGCGACTTTTGAAATAAATTGCGAGGACTGTATGTAAAATTATACATATACTTCCATACTAGATTTAGACTCCCTATGGATATCTTTACTCGTAGCTGTAAACTCAATAATTAAACAGATAATATTTCAATATATATACAAGAACATCGTTTTAAAATCAAAGTTAATTTTCTTTCATAATTTATTTTTTTTGATACATTGGTTTTCCATGCCTTGCCCATTATAATCATCATTAACAGTGTCGTCAGTCTTAAGACTGGTTGGGCACCTTCTCTCTTTCTTATCCTGAGCTAATCTTCTCATTTCCCTAAAACTAGAACATCTCCCACATCCTTAACTATTGGTGAACAGCAGTCAAATCTAGACCTTATTCTACTCCTCTTAACTCCTGCTTCTCCTTCTAATGTGTCTATAACTAGCTCCTCATGTCTAAAAAGTGTCTTACCAACCTATCTCACCTATTTCTTATTGACCTTCATAACGACTTTGGTTCTCCTACTCTCTCTATTATCTCCTCATTTCTAACCCTCTCTATGCACGGTACCTTATCATTCCCGGCATTTCAAACTCTTCTAACCTTTTCTTTTCCATCTCACTCACTCACCTTTTGCACCCATACAGCGCCGCCCTCCAAACATACACCATTAATAGGGTTGCCATCTCTAAAATTTGGAAACCAGGACAAGACGTGTGAAAACCCCAGATTTTAAAGTCCAGAACCCGGACATGTCAACAGGTTTTTTTTAAACATAGTCAGTGTAACAAAAAACAGTTGAAAATGTCATAAATCACCCTTTTATTTATTTTCGGACCTTAAAATTAAATTTAGTCATTCTTTATCATCATTTTCAAGGTACCTAACAAAACAGAAACTTATTACAGTTTGTTACAAATTGTTTTAATAATCAGTTAGATTTTTTTGACGTGTGTCGCGGGCGGCCTAAGACTTTAAATTTTTAAACCAGGACTACAAATGAAGCCCCCCCCCCGGACGTTCCCCGGATGGCCTCTAAACTAGGACAAATCGGGGGAAACCCGGACGGATGGCAACCCTAACCATTAACAATCTTTTTCGAATTTCTAAATTAACCGTTTGTGAGCATAAAAATTACTTCTATTTCTTAAAGGCGATTTTACCCTTTGTGTCCTTCTGTTTTATAACTTTACTACTTTCATCGCGACTTATATGACTTTCTAAATACCAAAAATCAGCGACCATTTTAAGATAAATATATTTTGTAAAACTACGATGAATCTCGTGTACCAGACAAATCTGACCGCATGCGATCTGTGGGCCGCTAGTTTGCCACCCATACTTTAGCATCTAGATAGTAGTTCGTAACTTTTAAACCATACAACTTTAGAAGAAAAGTTTCCGGACACATGTTTATCTGAACTTTTTACCCAGAATGATTTGTATCTACCTACCATCATCCCCCAACATAATAAGAATGAGAATAGTTTTATTATTTTATATTTACGTCACTCTATCATAAAACTGTATCACAATATACTTATTCTGACTCAAAAACTTTACAGTGTAGTTTATTTACTTTTATTAATTGGACTTTTGTAATAATGATTTCATTATTGATTTTGTTTGACCTTGTTAAACCAATTCTGATGTCATTGGTTTCGGTTTTGTGCTTTTGGTTAGTCCAAAACTAATACTAAATTTACTTATCACCAGTACGAATTATTGATTTTACTTATTCAATGTTAATAGACAGGAAAGTAATCTCTATGCTGCAACTTTGAATGCAATACCTGTCTGCATCGGACATAGCGCTAGCTAAACGTTTTCATTAATACCAAGAAGCGTTTTCACTTTTTCTGAAACTATTTGTTTCATTCGTGTGCATTGTTCTTTTAAATAAGATTTTTTATCTAGTTAATGTGTCGTTCCAGAACGATTTAACAGTAACATTTTAACAAAAAAAAAAATAAAGAATGAAACAATGTGAAACTTACCGCCTGTACTGCCATTTGCTTCCGGGAAGGTAGTGGCTCTGGAAACAAAGAAAAAAAAAATGTGAAAGTTACACTTGAAAACTTCAAATGATCCTAATCCCTATGCAAATCAGGCCTTCACGTTCCCTTGACTAGTATTATGCATATTTTTTATTATGTAAACTTGAACACTTTCAAGGCCTTTAATTGCCGTGCGAAAAAATGGTTCTGTATATATTAGGTAAACCTTATAAATTGTAATAGAGATAGCACAAGTTTGAAATAAATTGTCGCATTACAGAAATATGGGATGTTTTTTAATTAATGGGGATATATTACGCAGGTCTGCGAAATTTTTTTTTGAAAAGTTTTTTTCTTAAATTGTTAATATTTGTCGTAATTGTCTTAAAAGTAATAG